CATCGTCGTCTCGCAATGTCATGCAACTTTCGCGTCTTGTTTCATCAGGATCACTTTTTATGTACGTTACATACGTTCACTCTGACGCAACATCGTGAACAAAACGTGTGTTTTCTTCTCATCACAACAGATTGTAAGCGCGTCTTTCACTTCGTATATGATCTACATATACGCGCGCAACACATTCATTCTACTTCTATCGTCCTCTCTACCTGTCCTCGTCGTTTCCCTCTCATCGAGCTGCTACTACGCTCGCCCCACGTGGCGCAGGCGTGGGTTTGTTGTTTCTCTGTCACGCTCGCGCTTGTCTCATGCCGCGCAAATGCGTTTCTTCCCCGCTCTCACGTACGCGCGCGCGCGAACAGCGGACTTTCTCGTCTAGTCTACGCTCTCCGTCCGCTTCTCTGTGCGCCGCGCGTCGACGCCGTCATCATCGACGATCGAAGCGATGTGCTGATGGCTGTTTGCTGCCATTTATTGAACCGATTTCATTCTCCTATTGTTTTCTCGTCGCTTATCTTCGCCTATGCTATCAGAATTTTGCTTCAAATTTGTTCTCTCTCTCTCTCTCTCTCTCTCTCTCTCTCTCTCTCTCTCTCTCTCTCTCTCTCTCTCTCTCTNTCTCTCTCTCTCTCTCTCTCGATCTTGTTCTTCCGCAGTCTCGAACTAAGACGTTTCGTAGATTGTTCAGATGCGTATCTGTTGATATCTGGAATGCAATACCGGCTGATATTCGTAAGGAACCTTTCTGCGTTTTCAAAAGCAGTCTTCACAAGCATTTGCTTGGCAATAGCGTTTAATGTCACTACATGTATGTTTATACATCTCTCTTGTATTATTTTCCTTTTTAATTTTCCTTTTTATTTTTCTTATTATTATTTTTTGTATAATTAATAATAATTTCTGTTCACTTTTTCTTTTCTTTTCTCTTGTTATTATACTTTGTTTTCATTATTGTTCATTATTATTTTTGTTATTCATATTCTTATTCATATTTTTATTTTTATTTTTATTTCACTCATATTAATTATTACTGTTACTCTTTTTATTGTTATTTTTGTTTACTATGTACATCTCTGTAGTCCTAAGCGCTTGAAGGGATTTTATTCCAGAGCGCATAACAAATAAAGCTAATATCTATCTATCTCTCTCTCTTTCTCTTCTTTTTTAACCCCTTTAATAAATTTGCTTTCTCGTCTCTCCAACACTTTCATTTCAAGAGTTTATCTTTTTCACCTGTCAATGTTTTCTTTTGCTCGTCTACGTTGCCAACGTTTCGTCGAGAATCATCGACGCGCAACGCCTAATCCATCTGGCAATTTAACTTGCTTCCGTTTCTCGCGGTCTACGCGCGAACCACGTGGCATACAAAAAACAATCGACTTCTGTGATTTGATTCGAATTTATTCCGCGACATAAACCTCTCTCACGCTAAGCAGAAGCTTATTTAACAAAACTTTCTTTTGAACGAACGTGCGCGATTGTGTACGAGAGTTTCAAAAATCATTTACTCCAATTGGTACAGATCTGTGCTTCTTCCACTTTCAACCGGTACATTAATTCATTTTTATGTCCGGATCAGAGACTCACGCGAATATACACGGGTCTTCTCCGTGAGAAACCGATCTGGCATGCATGCGACGCAATTGCGCGGTTGTGTAAACGTACCTATCTCTTCTTACGGTATAGTAGTGGTCGTGCACGATGACCAGAATCGATCGTCGTCCCGGGGACGGCGTCTGTCGTGACGTCACGCTACGTCACCAGCTCCGAGCGAAATGTAGAGCGGGGGGTGACTGGCGGCGGATGCGTGCGCGTCGCTCTATCCACCTTTTTCCTCGTAACGTCGATGTATGGGAGCAGAGCAGGAACGGATTTTCAGTGTTATTCAATAAACACATTTAATTTTACACAATATGAAAACATATTAAGTTCAAATCTAAAGTTATATATTGCATAAAATAAAATAAACATATAAAACAAATTGAACATACCTATAATAAACAAATATAGAGAGAAAAAGTTTTATTTATTTGTTCATTTATGTTTCACATGCGCACTTTGAATAAATCTTCAGTTTTGAGTTTAAAAAGTGGATTATATATATATTAATAAGATAACGTTGCAATAATAAAATAGAACGTGCAAAAGTACACCAGTGGTTTTTGCTTTAACTCCGCTCCTGACACACGCCTGCGCGATGGAACAAATATACGTTTGTATATGTAATATATACACGACTCACCTGCATAACAAGGACTCCGGTGGTTCATCGTATGGCGGAAAGGGCGGTAGCGGGCGAGATGGCTCTCCACCATGTGCAACCAAGACCTAGGGCACGCTTCGTCAACGGTCGCGTTTCTTCCTCGTCTCACGTTACGTCGTGTCGCACGGTGTCGACGAACTAGCAAGCGCACTAACGCGAACACGTATAAGGGCTACAATTCGATATCGCCCATTCGCGAATCTGTTATATGTACATCCTCTTTTTCTCATTTCTCCAGGTCTCTCCTTCGTCTCTTGCTTGCGTTTGATTGATCGTATGCGCGTATCCCACATTTCCTGAAGAATCTTAGGCAACAGAAAGAAAATCGAAACTGGAACCTCGATTCTCGAACAATGTTTGCATACAAAAGTCTATGATACACGCAACATTAATTGTTTTCGCATACGAAAATTTTTCAACAATCTCGTGTCCTGAAACAACACGAGAATCTCGCCTCGAAATGTAGCTTCGATGTATGTAAAAAACTTGTAAATTAGATACAAAACACTGTTGAGAAAAATTTCCTGTTGAAAATTTCCATTTCAAATTCGGTTTAACTCATTGTCAGTGTCATTTGTTATTATCAGTGTTTTATTGTTAGCACGTTTTCATACAAAGATAAAAATCATTTTTTTTTTTAAGTTAAGACTTTGATAAGAAAAAATCAATACAATAAATAAGAGCGCTGATGTAGAAGAGCGCAAAATTATAAGTTAGAATTGCACAAACTTTAATTCGAAGTATATTATTTTGAGATTCGAACGAGGAACTAGTTAAAAATGCACGGTAACATGTGTTACCTAAACCGAGAGAACTAGTGACTAAGTTCGTTATCGCACACGTTCACGAGACTCGGCACCGATACGCTTTAACATACGATTTCGCTGCGGCAAACTTTATAGTCCCTGCAGATATTTCGTACGTACGACGCAATAAAGAGATTCGGCGAGCGTAAAGCGAAACGAAGGACTCCGTCGACGGAAAAAGAAAAGCCGAACGAAGCGAGCCGAGGGTAGCGGCAAATCGTGGAAGAAAGAGGAGAAACACGGGGAGGGAGGAGAGGAAGCCGCGGATCGGTACAGAACGGGAGACGTAGGTGGCACGGCTTCGAGAAAAAGCCTACCTCGTGAGGGTTGGCGAGGAAACGAGACACACGGAGGCGGCCAGACGCCGAGAACGACGGACAAGGCCGGATTTAGAAACTGTGTTGCCCGGCCCTCGAAAAACAAACCGATACGGGAGGATTCTGTGCGAAGGCACGCGAAAGCGAGCGGCGTGCGAAGTATCTCACGACAATCTTCAAGATAATTTGAAATTGTAATCTTCGTGATACGATTATTACGATGATTATTAACCATTTCATAATAATCCAAAGTGAATTTTTACAATAATTAATCTCCTCCAAAATCTTTTCATGTTTATAAACATTTTGTTATTCAAAGATATATACATCATATTCTTTAATTATCTTTAATAAAAACAATTGGAGTTTCGATTGTTAAATCGACAACGGTACAATATAAATATAGAGGTGATATATACGTTTGATCACGCGTAACGAGTAATGACCTCAATTTTTTTGAGTTGTGTACAATATCACCGCGTGTTTTCAAAGATAAAAAGTTGTTGACAAATTTTTTGATAGAGAAAAAAAACATTCCGATAAAATTACAATACTGCAAATATGCACATTATTATTCGACATTTTTGTTACAAGTCAAGCATCTCGAATATTTGAAGTTGAAACATTTCGACAAGCGGAAGGATTCACTAATCGGAGAGACATATTCGTATAATAAATTACTTGAGAATTCCTCACTCTCATCTTAAATTATTATGAAACTTGATAAAGTAACTTCGATCGAGTTTGTATCTTATAGTAGATAAACTAATTATTACTAAAAAAAAGAGAAAAAAGGAATACGTTATCTTTCATTCCACAAAACACTTGATTTACCTCACAGTGATTAAAAATACGGGCGGTTACGTGGGAGAGCAACTAAAAAAAAACCATGGTAACATGGCACTAATTTATGTGTTGCCACACACTGCGTCAAATAATTCGGAACGTGTGCGTCTTCAAATAATTTAGACCGCGGTCAACATATTCTATCCTTGTTTTACGAAAGCTAAACATAGACTGACGCTTCAAAGCATTTGCAGCGCTAAATTTTGATCACAGCCATAATTTAAACTATTGCATAAATTATATCGAAATTGTTGTAGGATTTTTTTTTTCGAATAATTCTCATAATACGCACGCGTGATTATAATATTTATTTCCGAATCAAATAGATAAAACGCGAAATATAATATACAACATATCGTCTGAAATCGAATCACACGACGCAATTTCGAAAAGCTACAACATATTGCCACTGTAGTCGGAAACATAGACGCGAGTTTTAATTCTAAAAAAAAAAAAAAACTGGTACTTTGGCTGCGATAAGCGCGTTTCGCAACTCCACCCCTGGAACAAGAGACGAAGGAAGAAGTCGAGCTCTGGCAAGTTGCGCGACGGATACCAATGAGGTGATTCCGGAAAGGGGAGATGGGAGCGAGAGAGCGATCGCGGAGAGTATGTACGTACGGCTGTGTATACAAGCACGCGCTCTGGTGGCGCCGCAGGAGCGAGAGAGATCGAGCGCGTCTCTGTGTATCGACACAACTGTGTGTAAGTGAGGGAGGCCGTACGCGGCGGGAATCGTCCCTCTCTGTAGTACTATGCGCGACGTCACGCAGGCGACATGATACACTTCACCGTCACGTTCGACAGGACGAGAAGGCGAACCGCGTCATCGGTTGCTTAGCGCGAGTGTTGAGTAGCGCGCGAGAATATTTCGTAGAATTTCGCGCGGGAAGCCACCGGATGAAAGCATTTCCGTTATCGCGCGAAAGAACGACCGCTCGGGAGAGCGACACGCGTCTCCGTTACGCTTCGTTTTCTTGCGCGTGTTTACATTTTTCGAGACGCACACATCGAAAAAACGGAAAGATGACGAATTGACACTCGACGTGATTTCGCGAAAAAGAAGACGCCGAACATGAGTTTTCCAGATAAAATTTCGTAGAAAAAATAACGACTGGAATCACGTTCTGGTAATTCATCGAAAATACGTATAACGAACGTTTACGAACAAAGGCGAAAGTCGTCGAAGAGGTTGAAGTTGCCGTTTGGTAGTAGCCTTGGCAGGTTGTGGCCCGCCGTGAATCGTCGGCAGTTTTCGGCGATCGTCGCCGCCACGCCGCATCGTGCCCGTACGTTAGACACGAAAATTGTCGGAGTTAGTTGACCCGTGACTCTCTCTCTTGCGTGCGCGCGCGCGCACGTTTGTGTTGCATCAGTCACTATTTTTTTTTTATTTTCCTATAAACGTTACGTGATGCACGTGCGTCGTGCAGGTGATTTTGTTTTGTTTTGTTTTGTTTCGTTTCGTTTCCTGCCGCGTGTGGTAGAGTGAAAAGTTACGCAGTGTAAAAAATACGCGTGCAAAAATCTAGTGCGTGTGTGATGAAAGATAGTGCGTAATACTTTTTCTCAGAGCCACATGTGACGTATTCATCGTGTTGTGTTGTCCAAGTAAGTTTGCGATACGACGCACTCGTAGTGTTTTTGGGATAAATTTTGGAAGATTTGTTTCTTTCGCGATCGCGCGAGAAAGTATACAACAACGTTTGGCCAAAATTTGACGATGCGTCTGGTTGCGATTTCGTGCGCGCGATATAAAATTGCCATCTTGCCATCGTTTTGAATCTCGGAAAACGGATGGACAAGCGGTGTGAATATAGATTATTTACGCATATGCGTTTGCTTGTAATTTTAACCCACGAGATTTCTCGCTGAAGAGTCCGTCTCGAGTGCGGCGACGAGTTCCCATTGCGAACGTAAACACGTCGTCGGTTCAGTGACACGCGAATAGTCTCTTTCTCTCGCTGCGTAGTACGTAGTAATACACACCTCGTGAACTAGCGTCTCGTCACGAAGCAACATTGTGTAATCTCACGTAGACCTTTCTAAGAACCTTTCTCGACTCTTGTTTTGAGAGAATTCAAGTACAAATGGATCCTTTTCCGAATAAAAAAAAAACAACAAAAAAAATTGTATTTTTTTACTACATATTTCAGGTGAACGTTGTTACTCTGCGTTTTGTGTTTGCTATCTGTGGATTGGACACGTCGCGTTTCCAAATTGAAATGTCGCGATCTTGTGACCTAGTGATATATCGAACGATTTTGTTTTAACTTCCACGTCACTTTTTTTTATTTGTATATATAGGACGCCCGTCCATATTTCTTCTCTCTTTTTCTCTCACGCAATATTGTGTAATATAATATAATCCACATAATAATTATATAAATATATAAGAATAAATAAAATAACACTTTATCTTTATCTGAATAAATAGATATGAATAATGCGCACTCGTAATATTACGCAACAAGACTGCTTTTCGTGAGTCGTAAAGTAGGCGGTCAATTTCGGAGAATGCGTTGTCAATCGCAAACACGGTCCCGCGTACACGTGGAGAATGCGCCGAATGATTACTTCATTTAAAACGTGTGTTGTGTTCATTTAAACAAGTTTATCGCGCTTGTACGTGAGAATTGATGACTTCGTGTTGTTCTTTAATTTGCGCATATACATTTCTGTCTGGATATTCGCATCCGCGCTAATAATCCAACGCATGAATAATCAGAATATAATATTGTTTCAAAATCGAGCGCGTGTTGAATTTAAAACAGATGCAGCAATCCGAAAATTTTATAGAACGTTTATAATATCTATAATATTTATTTCACACTTTGTTCGAAATAAAGTCTGCAAAGTATAGATATTTATCTAACTTGCTGCATTTTACCTGAATTTTATTAATTACATATGAACAAATTATAGATTCACGAACAGAAAGAGTAGCACGAATCGTCTAAATTAAATTTTGGAACCGAGACCGAAAACTACCAGAGCAGTCAACCGATCGCGGAACAAGCTTTCGCGTCCGTGAAAATTTATGCGTCACTTCGAAAAAGCGACGGGTTAAATATGTCACACGGGTGTGTACGTGTGCGTTACATATTTGGTTTTGACGTCATCGAATTGACATTTCGAGTATTATTGTCGAACATAAAATGTAAAATAGTTGTTGATGATTGCATTTGATTTATAAAAGACCTTATTTAGCAATTTGTATTAGCTACTCAATTATTGAAACGATTTAATCGCTTGACAAATGTGTTAGTTTCTGATAAATAACTGTGACTACTGACTAAAAAATTAACATTTTCAACAAACTCGCTACAAATACTGTCGATTGTTTTATTTTCTCTCGTTACTTTTCTCATCACTTGCGAGCTACGTACGTTGTATATACATTACGTATATTTTATTGAACATTTCAATCGATAAAGCATTGATTTGTTATGCATTGTTTGTACAGATTGGTCGCGATTAGATTTTATCTTCACCTTGTGAATCAAAAATCGACGTCGGGTTCCAAATAGCATTTGACAGCCACTGGCTATTACAAGATTGACTATTTTCATATACGAACGTCTAGTTTATTAATAATTAATATGTTATCTAATCAGTCACTAAGACAAGAGTGTGATTTAACCGTACTCTATCTTATCTAACGCAAGCTTTTCTTCAAATATAGCGAACAACGTTTTATTTTGTCGCGTCAGTCTCGTGTCGATTTATGTTCCAAATCGATTTTGAATCAAGATCAGACGCAAATTTTCGCCATACGTAAATTTGATCGACGGAAAAACTCGAGAAGTAAAAAATTGGCTTTGGCCAATAAACAACCATTTATACTACGAGTTGTGCGTAAGCAAACGAATATGAACGACAAAGACCGGTAATATTGCGTCGCATTCGGCACAGTAAAAAACTATTTTTGTTGTAAATTCGTAGTAGTGGTGTAATCTTAAAACGCGCGGAGGTATAGAACTGTGAGACAACAGTTATGTAAATAGTGCGCGGAGCGTAAACCGCGAAGAGAGACGATTTATTACGAAGTCAATCATCCGTTGCAACATGGATCATCAACGTCTTCTGTCCAGCAATAACAACAATTATCCTACACAACATCGTGAGTACTCAAATATCTTTCTCTCTTTCTCTTTCTTTCTCTCTCTCTTTCTCTCTCTCATCTTGGTCGAAATAATTTCGACTCGAGCACGTTTACGCAAGATAGCGTCTTATCATCGGACCGGGTTGTAGAAGAAAAATGACCCGACGCACATTAGGCGTTTTATCAGCTATTTGGCAACTGGATAACGACTAGTCCAGTTATGTATCGAAGAAACATTGTTAAATGTACGAGGCGCCTTCGTCGAAAATAATTTTACAATATCTTGTCGCCTTATCGCTTTTTATCGCTTTATTTTCTTTATCGTAAGTAGCGCGTTACACGTCTCGTCATCTGTTCATCGTAATGTTTGCTAATGGACGACGCGACAAAGTATGTATGTATGTTATATTCAATTGTACTGGGAAAAAAAGTTCTACGTGCAAACTGGAATACGTAAATACGTGTCGCTTCGCACGCTCTCTGTTCCGTCGACGGGTTCGCACACAAATGCTCGAAGAGAAGTCGATCAACGTCTTTTGCGTCGCTTCTCTCGAGTGACACGTACTATTTTTTGACCGCCAATTTAATTCCCGTCATAAAACGGTTGCAAGCAAAACATCAGATTTTGATGACATTTTTTTCTCTTTTATTCTACACACACGTGTATTTCCGATTAGAGGATCTTTTAGTTTTGTATATACAAATTGTACATACAAATCAATCTTACAAAAGTTTTATTTTTGTATTATAAAAGCTGTGAAATATGTATATTTATTAGTGATAAGTTTGAAATCTAATTAAAAAATTAATAAACGCAATGTAAAGTTTGTATCTACAGTGTGTTCAAAAATCTAAATAGCGTGCATAAAATTTTATTGAATAATTTTGCTATCAAATATCTATAAACTCTTTTAACCTTTTATATTTCTTATCTTTTATAAGTTTGAAAAAAAAAACATCAAAATCTGAATGTAAAATACTTAAATTTCTTTCGACTTTATGAGACTTGCATTTATTCGTAGATTTGCAACATTTCAAATTCGGAATATCGGAGGTACTACCGTAAAAATTACTGGTACAGGTGGGCCGCGATATTTCGAAATAAATTTCTCAATGTTTCAACATAGGATTAATTCGATAAAGTCGATAGCTTTCTAGGATTTTATTCAAATCTCATCATGTAACGACTTGTTGATTATGTTAGATTGTACCAAACCGCTTTCAGTTGACATTGAATTTGAGAGTAACAAACAAAAACACCGAAAATTACGATCGATGTTTGATTGGAGTTTTACAAAAAAAGATTTTAACTGCGTGTGATATTGAATATTTAACAACAGTGTTTTATCACCATAAGATTTACACATATGCTTAAGGTTAATCACCGGTGATTAAAAATTTGATATCTTTTGGTTTTAAACTTATTATGTGATTTTAAACATTAAATCTAGAAACTATAATGTTAAAGTCTTAGACCTGTTATATTCGTCTCAGTCTCTTATTATATCTGTTTATTGTGACTTTTTTTTGGATATAGTTTATAAAAGTGAAACCAGTACGCTTTACAAGTTTCAATGTTATCGCTCGTAGAAACTAAGGTTTATCATCATACTGCAAATGTGTGACTCATTACAAACTTTGACCTATTCTAATATTTATTCAACGTTTTACAATCGAGTTTTTGCAAATCTTAAACTTTTATCTCATTCATATGTGTACAGTTATTTATAGTGTTGCATAAAGTGCGTAAATAAAACATCAAACGTATCACATGAATATGTAAATGAGAACAATTAAGTATATGAAGGAGAGTCACAATTTTTTATTTTACTAGTGAAGTCATGTGTCGTCTGTAGCGACATTAATAATATAGCGCGACAATAGTCACTTCAGGAATCGACGGGACATTTGATTGCGACCCCGAGATTCCGTTAACGTTTCACGATAACAGTTCGCTACGCTTTTTGCGCATCGTGTGTATTCTTCGCGCCGACTTCTTAGGCGATCCGTCACGTGGGCCATTGATTTTCGCAAAAGAAGGAAAGCAAAAGGCAGATCGGTTGTTGCGCAAAGAGCTCCTTGTGATATATTTTATAATGGTCCTTGAGCTTGCTTTCGCAACGATGGGATCTTTATTTATTTATCGTTTTTAATGTTTTTTTTTAATGAGGAGTCTGTCTTTGGTTAACGGCCGGTTCGTCACAAATTACATTCCGATACGTAGTATTTGTGTTTTGTTCTTTTAAACTTGATCGTTGCGCCAAAAATTTTCAGTTTTATAAAAATCTTCGGCTAAAATCGATTACGCAAATTTTCTCAGCAATTTGTTCAGTTTTGTTCATATATTATATTCGAAATTATATATAAACAAAATGTTATACTTAACGTATATAAAAATGAAAACTTGACAGACAAAAGATTGTGCATATAAGTGTATTATAGAAATTGGTAAAATTTTTCTAGAACAAATCAATTTATTTTATACGGACGCTTTTTTCAATGAAAATATACATATAAATATATATAAAATATATATAAAGTATGTATAAAATACTTATAAAATACTTATAAAATACATATAAAATATATATAAAAATATATATAAAATATATATAAAATATATATAAAAAACTAAGTGTAACGGTTTTGGCAAGAAACTTGTTTTGAATGGAGTTACCGTTGCGCAGGTTTTTTTTCAAAGATTCAAAATTTCTTATGGTTGTTTGTAAGCTTCTAATAATATCATAAAAAAAAACCTCAACTACAAATGGCATTTTAAGAGTAAATAGCGAATCTCGCTACATACCAGCCAACTTTCTTGTTCGTTAAATGCGCCTCGGACTAATATGCGATCGATGTTTCACGTAATACGTCCTTGAGGAACGTGAAACTCGGTGTCGTTTGTCATTGTGTAAGACTGAAGATTGACAGATTTGCGATGAAAAGCGACGAGTTAACAAGAAGTTTGTCGCGTTGAAAAGTTTATTTCGTCAATCACATTATCATTTTGATTGCTACTGAGATGCTTAAAATGTATTTTGACGAAGTTTGCTTCTCAGCAAACATTTTACACGTTTAAAACTGCAATCCGTGCGAAAATCTTGAATGTCTGTGCACTAACTTGTCATCGGAAGTCGACGCTGTTTGTAAAACGAAGACGTTGAGGAACCTGAACGGATCATGTCATTTTTTTTTTTTTTTTTTTTTTAGGACTAACAGTAGACTTGGCGCAAGGCCAGTCGTGCTTGTTCGTTGCCAGAAGAGTATCGGTCGTGACTTTGTTTTCTGGAAATGATAGTGAAAAAAAGAATTCGTCGCGCATTTCTGTCAAGATTAAATTAACTCGGCTTCGTAAATCCCTCTCTTACTTGCTTATCAGACTATTGTATGATGCTGATTTAATTTTGTCAGTCAACAGGCGCTTGTTTTCTTAAATTAAAGTAAATTTCCATTTTTCAAATTCTTTTTTTTTAACACTCAATATTTATTTCAACAATGTTTATCGATATTGACAGTATTGTCTTATCTAGTGCAAACAACAGCAATATATTAGTATACTAGAAATTAAGACTTCGGTTTGCTATTCTGTTGTTATTTCTTCTTGACGGACAATATCTCAAATAGAATGATGAGCAATTTAACGAACAATGTCGAAGAATTAAAATGACAAGCAATGCGAGTTGATGTAGACGCGCATCAGCAAGACTCATTGTCAGCGACGACGAAGAGAAAGAGAAGAAAATATTAGAACTCGTAATCAGGTAACAATGTCGGGCTCGTTATAGTTCGTGATTACACCTTTTATCTTTATTTATGCAAGATGCGCGGTCTATATTGCCGGAAACTTTTTTTTGACAAAGTTCAACTGCGAGAAAGACAGGTTCATTCTCGCGTGAAGTTCGTCTTACGGTTGTTTGCTATTTGAAAGAATTGTCACTATCCTGAAAACTGGAATATTAATAATAATAATCTGTCTTCCACTAAAGATAATTAAATTAGAGAGAATTATGAAAGTTGAATGAGATATGCACTAGATGTTGTGATAGGTTGTGAGATTTTTGAACTCTTTCTCTTTCTCTCTCTCTTTCTTTTTTGATATTATAAACACAAAATCTCCTGAGATTCGTATATTTTATATTATTTATTGATACTTCAGCCAAATTCAGGCCAAGAAGAGAATCTGAGATTCGTATATTTATAAGGTTATTTTATTCGAGATGTGCAATAATTTATTTTATTGTTTTGCTACTCACAAAGTTAATGTTAAAACATTGTCTCTTTATTATTATTACATTGTTATTAAAAGTAATACATTTTCGAATTTTAAAGCTCAAGATACGTGTGTTTGTACAAATTTCTATAATATATATATTTATATATGCGCAAACTTGTAATAATTGATCTATTTTTAATACTCTAGATGTGTTTGTGTAATACTGTTGAACTAAAAATCATTCGACAGTATTTATCATAAATATTTCTTTAACCGCAATCGGATGTTCGGAGTCGTGTACAATTGTTTTGTTATTTCACATTGAAAAAAGAGAAGAAAAACGCTGAAAATTTTACAGGAACTGTGTGTACATGTGAGCAGAAAGCGTGAATCGGAGAAGCCGCCAAAACACGTCCGAGCTCGACCTAGTCAGCTCGACCAGCTTTGGTTCTTATCGATCTACCTTGCATAGGCTGTCTTCTTACTTCCGAACAATTTCTCTTACCGTAATGACCGCGAGATTAACACTGCCGATTTCAATCATCGCGGTCGGAGAATCTTAGTTCACGATTCCAAGTTATCTCATTTCTAGTTTCAACTTCATATTAATTTCAACTTTGACACACACACACACACACACACNTATCTCATTTCTAGTTTCAACTTCATATTAATTTCAACTTTGACACACACACACACACACACACACACACACACACCACACACACACACACACACACACACACACACACACACACACACACCTAGGTTATTCGCAAATAACAGAGTCTAAATTTTCCGATTAAATAGGAATATATTTTAATATTTATTGCAACGGGAATGTATTTTAATATTTATTGCAAAATACGTGACACTGTTGCATAAAGATGTCAATAAAAATAGAGAGATCTTAAGTAAACGAAGATATACTTGTTTGGCGCGTGGCTATTTTGTATTTTGTCACGTTGACAAAACTTATTTATTATATTCTTGTTTTTATTTTCATGCGTATTTTTAAGGATGAGATTAATTTGCACAGTTTATTTGTTTATCGCAAAACAACATCACAATAATCAACAACCATTGCTTCTTATTCGCATGATCTGTCGATTTGCTCCTTCAATTCTTGAAATTCTTTCGATCGACAAGACAGATAAAACCCTGTCACAAACGATAAATGAGCGAGATAAATTCACGAGACAAGTTTCTTTCTATTATTTATTGCCTGTTTTTCTCGACGCAGGAACAATCCGGTTTTGTCATCGAGATAAATAAAAGTAAATATGCCCGCATAGTTTGCGAATGATCGTGACTGAGAGAAACGTTGTCATCATCTTGTGAAAGTACACATCCTATCTTTGTGATAATCTTGTGAAATATATTATTGCTCGCAAAAAAAAAAAAAAAAACTATTACAAATTATCTTATCTTTACGCGATATGACAATTATATACGTGTGTTTTACATGTCTATGAGAATTGTGAGAAGAGAATATTTTTTCTTGTTGCAAACGTGTAGTGGACACGTGTTTTGCAGAGTTTGTTTTTATAATTCGAAAATGTACAGAACGTTTTAGACAACTGCAGTTGGCGCTTAACTTATATTATGAGCTTTGCGCATGTACAGCAGGGTGATTGCGAGGTAATTAATTGCTGTAATAAACGTGGAATCAACGTGGCCGACTAATTCGAGCGTCTGCGCTTGGTGTTATCGGAGCACCGAATAGGTTTACTCTCTACATTCCCGTAATCTACGACTGTGTGATAAGAATTCCTTCTCCGATTAATCGCAAAGGATTAAATCGTTATTTATTATATATTTTGTACTTGGAACTCTATGTTGTCTTGTACTTGGAAATTTATATCTGACCGTACATATAGAATGTTACGATTACGTTCGAATGTCTAATGTTTATGACTTGGAATAGAAAAAATTTTTATTAACAAATTAACTTTTTAATTTTTATTGGTTAAACATTTTTATTGATTAAAAATAATTGAAATTTCGGTAATTCTGCAGTTTAGTATCTTTTCCCAATTTTGGCTTTTTAATCCGGTTTTTGTTTTGTTAAAAAACGCTTTATTTCATCACTAAAGTGAGGAATCAATAAAGAGAGCTCGAAAAAAGTTATTTATATAAAAAAGGTATATTCAAGAAAGGTTTTATATAAATACCTAAATTTTACGTTTTTGGACATCGTTTATGTTTCTCGAGTAAATACTTCGTTTGTATCACACACTATCACGTACACGTGTAAGCAGGGACTTCGCCTCCCCCTGCCTACACGTGTACAATAGTACACAGTTTGTCCGGAAAGTTCCCGGACTGATTTTTTCTAGCGCGGGTAAGCGGCGCTATCGAGCGGTCAACGCTGGAACTACTTAGTATAG